CGAAACTTTTTTGAAAAGATTAATGACAGATGACGAAAAGCGATTCGTATATGGTTGCACCAAAGGTGGCAAAGATCCAATTGAGATTACGTTTGCTTGGTGCGGTTAGAAAGGACCCGTACACCAATGAGCTGCTCAGGACACGTCAATCATGTGGTAGGTGTATGTGTATGGTATTGTTTGCCATAACGACAATGCCAGATCATACAAATTTTTATTAACTCGAGAAGAACTGAAATTACCTGAGGGATAAAATTTTATAGTCCGCACCTTGCCTCGTCTCTCTGCCGAGCTGCCTTAACAGTATAGAGCTGATTTCGAAATTTCATGGTTTAGTTTTTCATTAACAAATCGTAGAAGAAGACAAATGATCGAAAGTTGTCAATGAAAATAGCACTGATTTGTTGCAGCAACACTCGTAAAAAAATGCCACGCAGCTTTTTTCTGACCTACTGTATTGAATATCGATGATATATCTCTACCTCGACTCGAACAATATTCGAGAACGTTGCACCTATCCCTATCCTATAGTCTCGAAACATAACCTTAAAAATGTTGTAATAAACCATGCGACGATCAGTTTAAAAAATAAAAATAAATAAAGTTTGAGTATAGAAGTAAAATTATTATATTTATCCCCTAACGCCCTTCGTCGTTGTTTTTTGTGAACATATATAATTATATTTGTTCCGGTTTATCATTTAAACGTGAAACGGATTGCATTGCTTTCTTCGAATTCGATTGATGTGTTTCTTTCGAAATTTGCACGAGATCACCGCGATAAAATGTTGCGGTAATTGATGATGATGTTGCGATTGCGTATCCTTTGCACTCACTCTACATCCAAATGATCACTTTGCACCATACTTTCGAAACAGATTATGAGAATTGAAAGCTCAGGGCATTTCGTTTCAAGGATGAGTACAGCGCGTTCTACACGGTCATCAAAACTTAAACAATTGAAACTAAAGTTCGTTGAAGGGGCTTTTCTAACTTTTTTGAAATTTCCAATCAATTTTGCTCAACCACGGCCTATACGTACATCTGTATGTGTAGCTATGTTTAGGTACCTAAAATATAATCGAAAAGTGTTAAAATTCATATTTCAAAATTTTCTAAAGCCATTCAAACTTCAATCTATAAAATACTTCGAGATTGTGTTGTTATACTCTCAATTAATAGAATACTAAGACTAGTCAAACCACTTCAAGTATGTAGCGCCGAATTCCGATTCGCTATTGTAAAGTCATTCATAACATAGTTGTCCTGTTTAACGGCCGCTGGATAATGCAATCAATTCAATTGTGTTGCGGAAGCGAGTTGAAAACTCTACAAAAACAAAAATGTATGATGATCGTCATCATGATAAAGTTGATCTATCCCTCCTTGAAGAACATTTGAACAGAAAAGCAAATTGTTACGAAATCGCTTACAATTCTTACAGAGCAGCTTTAGTCAACGCTCAATGAAAATTTTCGAAGTAGAAAAAAGGCTTCAGAAGAATTTCCTATACTGAGAGACACAATGCAGCACAGCAAAAAAAAAATGGCACAGAATCATCGGCTAGTAGGTAGATCTAAAGCATGTAACACAGATTCTGCGAGCTTCTGTACTTCCTACATCTATATACGTTGAATTGTTCCCATTGGTACGCACTTGCTTCTGCCTAAGCCAAAATTTAGATGAAATACTGAATATTTCCAGACTTGCAATCTGCGTCGTTCCTACGAATTCATAATACAACGAATTATAAGAATATGGTAAAGTTTAACTGAAACTGAGCAGAGAACGAAATATTGAAACGGTTGAATTGTTTCGCGTATAAAAGAATGTATATGTGTGTATGCACATGCAGATCTTACATTTAATTTCCATACATTAGCCATAATTCTTTCCTCGCGTAACACGAATGATATGCTTACCTCAACATGCTTAAAAGTCAACTTTATTCAATATATAATATTATTATTATTACTACTACTGCTGCTGCTGCTGTTGCCTTATTGTTGTTGCGGTTGTTGTTTACTGTATCATTTTCTTGGTTTATTAAGTGTTTGTTACTACTGCTGCTTGCCTGCTGTTGATGGTTTTCTCGTTTTTTTTTTTTTTTTTTTTGCTTTATTAAATTGTAAAAAGCTTTTCTTTTAAACGCCTTTGCCGGCCTCCCCTTTATCGTTCGTATCGTCATATAACTTTATTGCAAGGAAATAAAAAATGGTGAAGTATTACAAGTAGAGAATCCTTAACTTGCGAAAATTTATTGCAATATATTTTTTATCATTTCACTCATTTTCCTTTTCTTTTTTTTTTTTTTCTGCATTTTTCTTTTCCCTTTTATTTTTTTTTTTAATGTTTTCGAGCACTAGGATTAGACAAGCTAGATAGAATGTTTGGTTGGTGACGCCACAACCACAGAACGCCTTGACTTGTAAAGCATTGGACTGTTTTTGTTGTTTTTGTGTATAAAACGCAAGCACACACACACACACAAACACTTTTTTTTTTTGCTTCACTCTCGATGCCGGTTATTGTTACACTGATGATGCCCTTCATCACATAGAAGAGATGTTATAATAAGAACCACAAAAACAAAAGAGAAAAATAATAATAAAAACAGAACGTTAGATGTTGAGTAAATATTAATTTACATAACTTTCTTTTACATCTTCGTGTATTTAAAACACTCATCTGCTTAATTTTACCATGCGAAGACAGAACCAAATATAGGTATATCCGTGCCCAAATATATATATATATATATATATATATATATATATATATATAAGTATGGCTGTTTATGCGTGCTTTGGTTGATTTGCAACTGCTTAGTAACTTTTGTTGTGAAAATTTACTTTTTAAAGCATATTTTTAGCGCTTGTTGCCCACATTTTCAGTACTCGTGTCGTCGTTGACTGGTCGCTCGCTTTTATATATATTGAGCTAGTTGTACTTGAATTTTTTCTCTTCTGAATAGAATGGAAAATCCCTCCTCAAAGCGTATCATTTAACATTGTCTTGTTTAGATAGGGATGTGAAATTACCAAAAGTCTCTATTTACTATATTTTACATTAAAAAAAAAAAAAAGAAAAAAAAAAAAAACAAGGGAAACTTAAACCCAATTTTTCTCTTTATTTATTATAAAAAGGTTTCTAAATGTCTTGGTTGTAGCATAAATCAACTTTCCGTATACTTCAGTCCGTCATACCAAAGTTATTAAGGATATAACTTGCATAGAGCTTGCCTTCAGTATTTCCAAATATAATATAACCTATACTTGCTATAAGTTTTTCAATTCAAATAGGATATATAATTTATTTTTTGTCAAATTAAAATTTTCTATATATTTCGTTATAATTAAATAATTAAAAAAAAAAAAAAATGTCATAGAAAGTTTTCTTTTGATTATCAAAAAAACTCTCTACGTTTAATTTGTTTGTACTTTGCTTGATAGCTTAAAAAAACGATCGCTTGTAGCCTATGTGATTATGAAAATGGCCGCAACATATCCCCGTAGCCAATAATAGAATGAGTTAACTCAAAAACTTTCGCAGTTTCTGCGAATTTCAGCATAACATATCAAGCAATCCGCTTACGAAGGACCATAGTATAATGTTTTTGTCTGAAAGTGTTCTCAGTTTTTTCTCGCTTCTGGTGATAGGCAAAAATCTACAACTTAGCCTTTAGAAATCAGTTAAGAGCTTGTGTGTAAGCCGTTTATATTTATGTTCCATATTCTAAGGTCAGACTAGCAATTCAAGTAGAAAAGCTAATTGGACACGACATCCTGTTCTGATCTGACTGGACAAATGGAAAATATAATGTACGCTTATCTTTGCGCAGCTAACTCGTATATAAGTACCACAGACGGCCACAGATTGATAGAACTTATCTATATTTAAAAACTTATTAATCACTTTTAAAAAAAATATATATTTACCCTCTTGGATCGTTTGTTTTTCATACATAGGTAACATACACGTTGACGTTGCAAATATCATTATGAATTTAATATATTTAAAAATATTTGGTTACCAGCAAAACAATTTAATCAACTTGAAAGCACTATCATTGCTTGTATTGTAACAACGTTTACAGTATTTAGCAAAATGGTTTTCTTTCTTTTTTTTATTATTATTATTATTATTATTATTAGCATTCAGTCAGTGCAAGCAGCGTTCCAAACCGAAGTGCTGGAACATATTCTATCCATATGTGAGAGATGAAATTGTATTCTAACAGAATAAAAGTGAAAGAAAGAAAGAAACAAGAAAGAATAAAACAACGATAACAAATAACCCATAAGACAGATGAGAAGTTTCCGTTTGCAAGGCAAACGAAGATTTGAACGCTTTTCAAATGTTTGATATCATCTTGATGAGATCAATGTTATGTTTCTAGAAGTGATATCAAACATCTTTTAAATTTCAATTGCTGCGTCTTTTTGAATTTGAAAAAGTTTTTAATGCGTTCTTACTGCTGTTGCTGCTGTTGCTGCTGCTGCTGCTGCTGCTGCTACTGCGGCTGCTGCTGCTGCTGCTGCTGCTACTGCGGCTGCTGCTACTGCGGCTGCTTACATTTTGTTAATAACGCTTTAGATTTTTTTTTTTTTTTTTTTTTTTTTTTTTATGTGTATGTGTGTGCCTTTATGAAAATGTAATCATGTGACAGAATAATTATGTCGTCTTGCCTGGCATGCAAACTGAAATTTGCATTTAAAGTGACATGACAGCAGATAAACCGAAATGAATATGAGTTTTTCTCGTCAAATTAGGCATAATCACCTGGGGG